AGTCCCTCCATCCATTCAGAAGGGTGGGAGCAAAACTACAGTGCAGGTCTGTTCTGAGCAGTCTCACTCCCACACTGTGATCCTTACAAGTCCTAGTAAATCCCACCATTGCTGAGTCCCCGTGCCTGGCAGTGTTCCTGGCTAGAGTAAGAACAGAAGCTTCCCTGGTAGGCGGGGGCTCACAGCTGTGAGGGCGGGGCTGCTAGGAGCTGTCCTGTGCTCAGTGGCACTTAGCCCCTGCCATCTGTCTGCTCCACACAATGACAGGGCATCAAGCCCCGCAGTTCTTGGTCTGGCAGCAGCTTTATAGGCAGTAGAGGGCCACGGGTGCTGGCACCATTGACCCCCCTACTTGACCCTGGAGCTGGGCTATGTCAGATATGTCTGGGCTAGAAATGTGCTAGACATTAGAGGGTCCTTTGGTGGTATAACCTCAGCCCCGATCTATCTGCCTTACTGAATCCTGCTGAGCTTTTGTGGCCTAGCGCCAACCCATCTCTTTTTGGAAGCTTTCTCTGACTTCCAGCCCCTTCTGACCTCCTTGGGGAAGCAATGGAATATGCTTGGGTTTGGTTTTCCCTGGAGACCCTCAGTCCCCAGCCCCCACAGATCCCCACAGAATCAAGAGTCACCCTCCAGCATCCTACACCCAAGCACTCAGGAGGGGCTGATAGGCTCAGTGGCTTGGGTCAGCTAGGCCTCCAGCAACGTGCCCAGGCAGTGATGGGGTGCAACATCATTTATCAGGGTGCTCCTGATAGGGGAGGGCTGGCGATCGCATAGCCGTGTGCCCAAAGGGCACTCCATGCATTCACGCATTCATTGAACCAACAGTGACAAGGCTGCTCCGGGTGGCCAATGGGATGGCTCTGAGGCCGCTTTTTTTTCCTGGCATGGGGGCTGCTGGGCCCCTGCCATCATGGAGCTCGTCCACCAGGACAGGGTCAGGAAGAGAGCCCGGAGTGCTGAGATGCTGTAAGAGCAAGTGAGAGGGTCCGCCAGAGCCACCCAGCCACTGCTGATCTGTCTAGATGGTATCTTTGTACAGTTGAGCAAAGTGCTCTTCTCTGGATGGTGACACTCGCCAAAGAGGTCTCCCCAGGCTGCTGTAGACCTGGGGGTATGGCTAGTGAGCAGAGGCGCTCCTGTGAGTTCAAGTGCCCCCCATGGGGTGTCACCCCCCACCCCCGTCCCTCTTCTACCAGGTGTCTCTGCATTCTCGGAGCAGCTCGGTGGACCTTGTGTAACTGTCTCTCCAGACCAGTAAAGTGCAGCCACATGATCCATGAGGCACCGTCAACCTGTGCCGCTGCCTCATACAGAGCTGCGGCCATAAAAGACCTGGGTCTTTAGTGTTCTTCCCTCGCTGAAAGAGGCAGGATGCTGTCAGCCACCGTAAAAATGTGACCTTTGAAAATTTACAAGAGCTCGGGTTTAAGAAGCTGCTGCGTTAATGATGCATCCCATTAGCATCTCATTAAAGGGAAGCAGAGAGAAGCCTGCTCGGGCCTGATGATGGGCAGACAGGGCCACTGTGCAGGGCTGGCTCTGCTGATCTACCTCTCTCTGCCAAGCGCTACCATGCCACTGGGGCAGAAGCTGTAGCCAGTGATGTTCGAGAAAGGCGGAAGGTCTGGGTGGCAGTAAGAAGAAGCAAGCAAGTACAGGCCACCCAGCCCTGCCTCCCTCCCCGCTGGCTGGGGCCAACTTCGCCTGGCTGGTGGCTCTTCGTAGCTTTCTTGTATTTGTGTTCCACCCCTTTCCCCTGAGGGGGCCTGGAACTCAGGCCTGCTTTGCCCCCAACCTGAAGGGGGTTCTGTCCCATAGGAAAGAGCCATCAGAAGCTGAGTTCCCAACTGGGGTCATAGACCCATACATGACCCCAGAAACTGCTAGAAACTGAACTCTCCATGGCTTTACTTTGAGCTTGGGGCCCTTGGCAAAAGGAGAGTCTCTGGCCAGGCTGCCAGTCTTCTGTATCACCAGCCTTTCCCTGAGGGTCCGCTCCTGGGAGCCAGTGTTCTAGAGAGAAAGAAACATTGGCTAGATTGTTTTAATAAAAGAAAATTCCTGAACAGCAAGTGGCTTGCTGCTTCAGATGTTCCTAGCAGAGTAGAATATGAGTAGCCTTATTTATCTTCCCTAAAGGAGGAAAAAGAAAAAAAAAAAAAAGATTAAGAACCTGCTAGTCGTCGTCATGGAAAACACAGCCAAACAGCAGGCCTCCTGCAGCAACCCAAGCTCCAGCCGGCTTGCCCAGCTTCTGTGCTGGGCGTAACACAGTTCACACCCTTTGTACACCAGGACTCTCCACTCTACTGCAAGAGACACTTGAGGATAAGGCTGCGTACGAGCTGCCCACATCCCTACTGTCCCAGCCTGTGGTCGACATGGGCCCAATACCTATTTGCTGAAGAACACACCAAAGCACAAAGGAGCCACAGAGAGCGCTGGCAGGCGTGTTTGGAAGCAAGGGCCTGAGTGACAGATAGTCAGAAAGGCATATAATTTCCCAAGTTCAGAAACTAGCTTAACTTTAGAGCAGAAGTTTTAGAGGCAGAACTTGTGTCCCAAACTCAAGAAGATACCCCCCCACCCCCCCCCCCCCCACACACACACACTCTTCTGGCAGCATTGCCCATCCCAGGATACGTTCCTTGAACCCTTCTTTCCCTTCAAGGCCACATGCTGCCTCAGCAGGACAGAATGTGAAAATTGGAAATCTCAGTTGCCTGGGAGCCCTGAGGATCTGGGGCAGTAGTGAGGGGCTGCAGCGCCCCCTCCTGGCAGGAGGGGTTTCCACATGGTCAGTGAAGGAGACTGGGGTCTCAGAACTCAAACTTTCCCCTATGGAGAGCCCTGAATGAGACATTCCAGGGGACTCTAGTTCCAGGGGACCAATCTTTGTGCCACCAGGACCCCAGGGTCTGGAAGTACAGAGAGGGCTGCTGAGGGGCTAGATGGCTTCTTCCTTCAGACAAGGCACACATTGAAAGCTATCAATTTGGAGAACTGGAAATGTCAGACTGTGGTTCCCTGGTACTGCTGCTAAACATGGCTAACTCCTCAGCCCTGACACACATGCCCCCTGCCTTCCCCTAGTCACAGTAGTACGGGAGCCTCTGACCAGGACATTTGCCTGTGGAATTGTTCCTTTCTTGGGAGAGTCGCTTTTTCTTTGTTCTGCACTCTTGTGCACAGAAGCCGAGCATCTGAAGTGCAGGCCAGAGGTAAAGTGCAACCTAATGCAATTAGCTCGGCTCAGCCTTGGGGCCTAAAGCAGTATGGCTCCTGTTCCTCCCTGCAGGCTCTATGCCAACGCTGTGTATTGGCTCCATTATGTGACCAAGCCCCAAGAGCTGCGGAGCGTACTGCCCATACTGCTCTGTGCCTGGCCTAGGACAGGAGAGTCTCTGGTCAGGGAGCTCAGCCCTCCTACAGCTGCATCTCTGGCTGAATGCCACCAGAAGTCACTGCCTGATGGTGGCACTTACTTGAAGATGCCCCTGGGCTTCCTTTGGTCTCAGACACTTCCCAGAAGGCAGCTGTTCATTCTACCTCATACCGTACCCTCAGCCTGGTGGTGGACTGTGACACCCCCTCCCTCTCTCTGTCTTTCTCTCTTTCACATACACACACACACACACACACACACACACACACACACAATGTCTTAGGGGGAACTTATTATACATAATGATAATGACCATGGTCAAGAAATTTGGAAGATCTAGGAAAGAGTAGACGTTACCCCCCACTTCCTCACCCAAGGTCCTGCTAACATTGTGGTTAACCCCTCCTACGCACGTTACTCCACATGCAGACATTCACATCGGGAAGACATAGGTATGTCATTTTCTGGCCTGCTTTTTTTTGCTAGTTAGTTGGAACTGGGGTTTAAACTCAGAACCTCAAGCTTGCCAGCTGCTTGTACTCTAGCGCTGAAGCATACCCTCAGCCCTTTGTTGCCCTGTTTTTGAGACAGGGTCTTGCTGCCCACATTGGCCATGCCATGCCTGGATCACAATCTGCCTACTCTAAGCTTTCCATCCTCACTGGGGATGACAGGGACACATGGCCACGCCCACCTTCTTTCTCTTGAGATGAGTTTGGAGGACTTTTTCTGCCAGGGCTGGCCTTGAATCACAATCCTCCCATTCTTAGCCTCCCAAGTAGCTAGGATTGCAGGTACAAGACACCTGCACCCAGCTTCTGCGGTCTGTTTTTCTAATTAACATTATAAGTAGTTGTGAGTATGTTGCATTCTCACCCAGAATCCTTAGCAAATGTGATTCTTGATGACTGTGTAATATTCCAGAGCTGTCCCAATGCTCACTTTCACCTCAGCATTCATGTTCTTATTCTGCAAACCTAAGCCAGAGAGTGAAGTCTTAGAGCAAACTTCCTGTTCTGATCACCCAAATGTTCACCTCCACCCCCAGCCCAGGAGCAGGGTCTGAGCTGTCCCCCTAAACATGCCTCATTTCCTGTTCCCCATCCTCTTCAGGACGGGGCAGGATGGGGCAGGTTGCCACCTGATGGTGGGTCTCAGCAGACCAAGCATTATCTTATCCCAGGAACCCTTTGTAAAACAGCCACCTGTCAGAGGGTGGCTGTGAATCCACCATGGATGCCTAGCACCTGTCCTGAAGAAGTCTGTAGCGTTTGTGCTGTGGTGGGTTATTGGCAGTCTGAGGACTGGAGGACCCCAGGTGGTAGCATAGAACGCTCCTCCCTGTGCAGTAGCTTGAATTGGCAGCTACTGAGAGGCGTGAGGAAGTCCTGGCTTGGGACTCGGAGGCAGGAATCAGGAATGGGCAGAGGCCACAGCTATGGTGGCTCTGCCCAGGTGTCCTGCAGTTCCTACCTGACTCTGGTTGCAAAGCCAACTCTCTGCCTCCGCCCTGAGCCCAGGAGATAAAATGCAGGCCACAAGGGTGTTCTATTCTAGAGGATAGCTCGGACCAAGCTGTATTCACCCTCCCTATCTCTTCCCACAGGCTCCTGGCATCTCCAAAGCGGACAATCCGTCCCAGGGACTGGCAACCAGCATCCGGTGGGGGCAGACACCCATCAACCAGTCCACACCCTGGGACACCGATGAGCCGCCCTCCAAACAGATGAGGGAGAGCGACAATCCAGGTGTGTACATCACCTGCCCTCTGGGTCGCCTGCCTGCTGGTGTCCTGCTCTTCTGCAGAAACAGACACTTCAGGCCCGGGGGGACAGGGTCCAGTCTATTTCCTGTGTTGTAGCCGTGTCTCTTCTCATGGTGAGGATATTCAAAGGCCGGGTGCAGGGGAGTATTTGAGAGAGCAGGAGCGTTATAGAGGTAACTTCCAGTGAGGTGCAGGTTAATTTTGTGTAGTCGTTCCCAAACCGCAGTATTTGGATTGAAATCAAACTCTGCATCTTCCAGGAGGTTTTGCATTGGCCGTGAGTCCGTGAGGACTAGTCACTCTGTGCTCACGAGCTGGGACTTCCCTGTCCCACAGCACCCCACGCGGCCTCTGTCTGCACAGCTCCAGCCACCACGCGTGTCCTCCTTTTCCTCCTGCCAGCCCCATCGTTGCCCCTTAGGATACCCAGGTCACACCCGCTCGTCCTTGCACACAGCAGCCTCACAGATCACCAGAGAGCCTTGTCATCCCTTCTCCAAGTGTTTGGCTAGATAAATACCCCAAGCCCTCTGGTCAGGCCCCAGAATCCATGAATGCCCATCCCCTTCACTGGATCACTGTTCAGCTCTGTGTCCCTCTTGAGTCCCAAGGCCAGAACAACCCGCAGAGCTCAGGTGCAGTGTAACCAGCACCTCCACTGTGGTTCATGCAGCCTTCAGCCATATCTGTGCAAGCCCAGTCCCCCTCACATGGCCTCTAACAATAAAACCCCAGCACTGGCCGTGAGCCTATCCCTGTCTAACCTCCTTACAGTCAGACTTAGGCAGCTGGGTCTGGGGACCAAAGGACAGGCCTTGCCCACCTGCCCATGTGACCCTCAGATCTCCTAGACTCCCATTCCCACTGCTGCCCTAATCCCTGTCCTTCCAGTGTCGTCTGTCCTCCGCAGACCAGTGACAGTCCTTTCCATGTTGTCGTTGCAGCCAGCGATCCAAGCCATAATCAGGGCTTGCCGTACGGGACTAGAGACCGCTCCTTAGGTCTCTGTCCCCCTTTCATTCTCTACATCTCTGGTTACCATGGAGTTCTCTGCAGACACACCCACTGGACTCGAGTTCTGCTACATTTTCCCAGACTCCCTGGCTAGTCCTGGGGAGACTTGAGCTTGGCTGGGAGACACCCAGCTGGCTCCTGATGATAACCACCTCCTCTGTTTAGTGTGAGGACAGTCCCCGTCAGCAGCCCATTCTAGAACCTTGCCAGGACTACTTTGCCAATGTTTGTGGGCTTCTAGTACTCCCCAGCTTCTCTCAGTCTCAAAATCATAAATATTTCTTGTCCGTGTATCCTATGGTTTGTTCCATGTGTCATCTCCACACTGTAGGAGTCCTGGGATGTTGGTGTCCATGTTGTACCCACAGCAGATGAGCCTTGTGCCTCCCGCCCCTCAGCTAAGAGGGCACAGGACCAGGCCCCCGAGAGTCCCAGTCCCGGCACTACACCACCATACTGACAGCACCCCCTGGTGTTGGCAGAGCCAACAATCCTGTGGACTCCTTCCCTGCTAGACCATTTTATTCCTGAGAGGGAGCTGTCAGACCCACCTTCTGGCTTCTTCTTACCGTCTTCAGTCTCCACTGCTCCCCCGCTCCCACCCAGAGAAATCACAAAAACCAAGGCAGCATTTGGGCAATGGAGAACCCAGACCAGGACTCGTTTAGTCACAGATGACCCAGACTGGCTTTCCTTGTCCAGCCCCGCTGGGTCACTGCCGTGTTGAATCAGCTCAGGGAGTAGGGGGCATCCTGCTTTTCCTGATCTGCGCACAAGTGGCTACGTCACATACAGAGCATCTCAAGAAATAGGTCTGGACCCCCTTATTTGGCCAGAATTTCTTTAGAAGCTAAAATAGGCTTCTCTTGTTTCCAAGAGGGCTGGACAAAGCTCAGCCTCACAGCAAAAAGTGTGCTGCCAGCCTTTTCTAGGCCCCACTGGCCCCTCCCCACCTGGGTACACCTCGTCAGGCCCCAGGCTCTTGCCTCTCCAAAAGCCTAGCACTCAACGGTTTCCACCACGTGGCTTCTTTGTCCCTCCCTCCTTCCCTCCCTCCCTCAGAATTCTCCAGAAAGGGAGAAGAAACACCCACAGTTATGGAACATTTATCACATGCCAGAATCTCTTCTAGTTTTATTTTGGTTCCTCAATCAGTTCTCAGTGGCCCGAGGGGGTCGGCATCACCAGTTCCAGTTAACAGGTGACAAGAACGAGGCTCAGAAGTACAGAAGCGACTTGCTGGGACTCTTAGCCAGTAAGCGGCAGACTTGAGATTTGAACCTAGGTCTCTTCAAAGGCCTCAACATTTTGCACTCTGCTTCATTGCTTTTCACCTTTCCCAGGCAGACTGTTGCTTTCTCCTTGGAACTTTTCACAGCCATTTGCTTATAGTTCGTAAAGACCTTAGCCTGAGTGCTAGAATCACAGAGCCCTGGTCTGCCAAGTTCCTAGGCTTGTCACCCACGTGTGTGACTCCAGCACCCAGCCCAAGATCTAAGGCAGTCGGTGTTTGTGAGATGGATGTCTAACCGGCAGATAATATTTCTTCCGTCTCCCTTGCAGGCACAGGGCCATGGGTGACCACGGTGGCCGCCGGGAACCAGCCTGCCCTGATCGCACACTCCTATGGAGTGGCCCAGCCTCCCTCCTTCAGCCCGGCTGTGAACGTCCAGGCCCCAGTCATCGGGGTGACCCCCTCACTGCCTCCCCACGTGGGGCCCCAGCTTCCGCTGATGCCCGGCCACTACTCACTCCCGCAGCCGCCCTCCCAGCCTCTGAGCAGCGTGGTGGTGAACATGCCTGCCCAGGCCCTCTATGCCAGCCCTCAGCCCCTGGCGGTGTCCACCCTGCCTGGTGTGGGGCAGGTGGCCCGCCCCGGACCCACTGCTGTGGGCAACGGCCACATGGCAGGGCCCCTGCTGCCTCCTCCACCACCGGCTCAGCCATCCGCCGCTCTCCCCAACAATGCCCCTGCCACCAATGGGCCCCCCACAACTGACTCGGCCCATGGGCTGCAGATGCTGCGGACCATTGGCGTGGGGAAGTATGAGTTCACCGACCCAGGGCACCCCAAAGGTAAGTCCTGCCACCCACACACACCTCCCTGTGTGCCTGCTCCATGCCTCCCTGCCCGGTCACTTCCACGGCAGGGGCCAGACAGACTGTGCTTCATGGTGGCTCCTTCTCTGGTCTTACCTAACCTGGAGCTGCATCAGGTCCTCACCCTGCCCAGAAGAGCCTGGCCTCAGACAGGGGAGGCCAGGCAGAGGGCTAGAGTGGAGGGTGGGAGGAAAGGGCTGTTTGTATGGACAAGAAGTGCAAGACAGGAGGAGGAAGGAAGGGAGAGCCTCTGAGACCAGAGCCCCAGACCATACTCACCTCTGACCTTTGACCATGCTCCCCTCTGACCCCTGGGCCAGGCTAAGGTGAACGTTGAGAAGGAATCATTTCTTCCTCTCAAGGCTCCCTAGAAAAGCCCCCTTGGGATCGTTCGCCATTTTCTACCCATGAGGACATTCAGAACACAGACTGCCCATGCGCCCTCCAGGAAACGCCTCCTCTGCCGAGCCACTGCCTGAGTACAGGACCAAGGCATTTACACCGGTCCAGGCACAGTCTCAGACGGTCCTGAGCCAGAGCTAGGGGGGGGTCTGTGGAACCTTGGAAAGAGCAGCCCAGCCTTCAGTGGATCCTCCTTCCCCAGCCCCTGAGGAGTTTCCTTACAGGGAGGCTCAGAGTTAGAGCCTTGGGAACAGAGTCTAGGGAGGAAAGAAGAAACACATGAGGGCATGCTTCTTGGTATAAGCGCCAGCATGGAGGAGGTAGGCTCTGAATGAGGCTGGCAGGGTTCATCTGCTCCTAATTATCTGCTGATCCCTTAATGCCAAGGTAGGCTAGGTCCTTCTCCTGCCCAGGCCAGAGGACAAACTGCTGGGTCTCAACCAGGTGCAGCAGCTCTAGGCACAGGAGGAGGCAGGATCCGTGCTGAGCAGTCCAGCCAGCCTGCGAGGGTACCTAGGCCTCCTTCAAAATGGCCAGTAGACAGTCCTAGACTAGTTACACATCTGGACACAACTTCTTTGCCTCCCCAAAGAGCAACATCCAAGTAGCCACTCTCTTCTTACCTCCAAAGATTCTGTCTCTAGCCTTCAGAACCATTTCCCCAAAACAAAAGCCATGCATAGGTTTCTGTCTGGTTTCATCCCCAATCTGAGTGAGCCCTGGCTTCCTTTGTCTTAGAAATCAGCACTAGCTTTAGGTGATAAAATTATAGGAAAATACATCTAAATTCTAGCAGACTCTTACTTTAAGATCTGTTGTTGTTGTTGTTTTCTAATTTACTAGATGTATACCTTGTTTGAATTGTTTTGGTTCAGCCCTGCTCCCTTTAAAAAGTCTCCCTCAGCCCCTCAAAAACAAATTCTCACTCTGACACAGCTGGCCATGGGAGTCACCCAGTCTTTCTCAAAGCCAAGGGGCACTGGTTGGCTTCCTTGTCCTCCCATGGGTGGCATGACTTAAGAAAGGTCTTGCTGACTAGGCATGCATCTAGGAAAAAGAATTATTCTCTGCAAGATGGAGCTGGCCCAGAGAGCAGTGGAGTCCCTGGTCTGGTGCTCAGCAGCCAGCTAGGATCCGCCTCACCAAGCTGCTGCGTGTAAGCCAACCTCAACATCCTTAGCCCTAAAAGGCAGGAGATGGGGAAGGCACAGGTGGTAGGGACAGGTGGCCATTGAGCCGCCCAGCCTGCTGGGTCACTGGACGGTTGTAGAGTGGATCCAGTGACAGCTGGGCAGAGTCCATCCTCTGTGGTCTCGAGCCTTACAGGTGAGAGGAGAGAAGAAAGAGCATTCTGATGGGACACCCTGTCAGGCCTCCCAGGGGTAGACAGAGTGTGGGTGAGAGCCAAAGAGGAAAAACCAGGGAAGGGTTCAAGACCCCACCTTCTAAGGACCACCACCCCGCCATGCCCGGTCCTTCGGCTCCAGCCAGTGCCCTGGGTGACCTGTCTGTGATGCTCATTCCCAAAGGATGCCCTCAAGCCAGCAATTTTCCCAGAAATTACATTTAACTCGCTTCTGTGTGTGTATGGTCCTCATCAGCTGGTAGATCAATTCCCTTGTATTTTCCGGGAAGAAAGGCAAGGAAGTATGCACTACAAATGCTTAACTTGGGGTGGGTTTTTTTTTTTTTTTAATAATTTCTCCTTTCATTTCTAATCTTAAAAGCCTTTATTACTGAAGCTATAATTTGTCTGTCAGATCTCATGTCAAACAACGGCATTTTTTTTTTAAATAAGAAGCCCAAATTTTGAAACCAAATCTTTGCAGCTTGCTATAGGAGAGTTATAATCCTGACAAGACCACGTGAGTGTGGATTTGGGTCACTTTTAATTTTGCCCCTAGGGATTTTTAACATCTCTGAAACCCAATTGATTTCACACTCTTAAATGATAGACAGCTAGCTCCAGGCGGGAACAAGAGGCACTGTACGATTATATCAACACAAGTCAGAACTCCACTTTAAAAAAAAAAGAAGAGGAAGAAGAAGAAAGGAAAGAATTTTCCTTTTCTCCCATTCTCTGTTTGAAACCTTGCCCGGCATTTTAATAAGATCCACGGTAGAACACAGCGCGATCTAGCTCATTACAGCCCTGAGACTTTGTCTACTATTGTTTGAGGTGACAACCTGGCCTCTTCGTGGGCTTGAGTAATTATGGAGAGATCCCCCTCCACGAAGAACAGGTCTTGCCAGCCAGAGGGATGGGCCACTGGTATTTTTAGACTTCATTAGAGCTCTGAGTTAAAAATTTCACTTTTTGTTTCTTGTAATTATCATCTAACCAACTGAGTGAAATTTTCAGTCGGAGCTCTATTAGTCTGCCTTCCCCCACCTCCAGTCCCTCCAAAAAAAGAAAGGGGATGTTGGGACTTTAATTTAAAATTTAACCAATTGAAAAATAAAAGTAGTGTGCAAAATGCCTTTTGATTCGCAATAGGTCAAATGATTGTCTCTCATCTGTGACTAGGGAAGCCAGCTTGCGTGCAGTTCACTTTAATGAGTGTTATTTAAATGCATTGAGCACGTATAGGTTTTCCTAAGAAATGTACGAGATAAATCTTTCACTGAGAACAATTTGGGGGTGGGAACAAGCTGTGGGATTTTTTTTTTAGATTATATATATTGAAAGCTAATTAAAAATAGATTTCATGTGTGCAAAGTGATAAGGGAGGAAAACAGAATTAGTTCCATTTGGATCTGTTATGAAATACCTGAAATGAGTGTCTGGTTGTTGGATTGGACCCCCGAGCTAAGCCTGGGGGAGTAGTTTGGCCAAGCTAGGCTTCCGTTTAGCCCTGGGGTCTCCTGTCCCTGTCTCTGGAGCTCCCTGGGAGCCCACAGCAGAGCTGCAGGCAAGGGATGTGGTGATTTCTGTTGCTTGCTTTCTTCCCTAGAAGGATTTAGGCTCAGCGAGACTGTGTGTGGCTGAGGAGAAAGGACCAGGCTAGGCCTGCCTTCTGCTTGCTTACAGACCGCCGCCCCCCACCCCCAAAAAAAAAATTAAGTCCCAGGTGACTTTAATAGGAAGATGTCTTTTTGTGTTTATTTGGGGGAGGGTGTTCCTTTTTTGTTTGTTTTGGTTTAATGGAATTATTATGCGAACTCAGGGCCTTGAAGATGCTAGTGATGTACTCTCCTGCCCCTTTTTGCTTTAGGTTATTTTGCATATACAGTCTCCCTTTTTTTTCCCCCAAATGGCCTTAGATCTCAATCCTTCTATCTAATTCCTCCCAGGTATGGCTCCCAGGCCCAGCTTGTCTGCTGAGATACAGTCTCATTCACTAGGGCTGACCTCAAACCAAGAGTCCTCTGATCTCCATCTCACAGGTAGCTGGGATTATAGATGGGAGCAACTATACCAAGCTCATAACTTAGATTTTTTTTTTAAATAGGCCTAGGGTAAGGAACTGTGAGAATCTATCTACAGGGTTTGGCCACATGGCAGAATATAATTAGACCCATCCTGTGGTCCCACAGTTTTCTCCCATCCCATTCCTGCTCCTAGGACCCCACTCCAAGCCCTGTGTGGATGACAGCTACTTCCTACTCTACAGGTGACAAAGCAGGATCTTGGAAAGATACTTTGAGGCATATAGCTGTATGACTGGGCAAGTCCTTGATTTCTCTGAACCCCTCTTCTCCAAGCTTTAAAATGGGGTGACAATACCAACTTCCTGTGCCTAGGGGATGACTGCACGGCACTGTGCCCGCTCACTGCCGAAAGTACCCACTGTTGCTGCTGGCACTGGCCCAGGGTCAAGTGAGCTGAGAGGTGGAGGCTGGGCCTGCCCAGTGCAGTATGCTCCGGACTGGCAGCACCAGTTAATGCCATTCCATGGGGGCGGGGGGGGGGGGGGTAATCTTCAGGCATGTAGCCAGCTCAGATCCATCTCTCCTCACCCCACTCTCTGACATGGGGTCCACTGTTCCCTCTGTAACTGCAGAGATACTCTAGAAAGAACTAGAATGCATGAGAAATTTATTTGCCCACACATACGTAGGCAAGGGGCATAAAATGTTGTCCACGTTGCACTCACCTTTCCAGACCTGCTCTGCCTGTGTTCGCATCCTGAAAATGCTGCCTTGAAGCCATCAGGGTTCAAACTCAGAGCTACAGGCTCCAAGACACAGCCAAGGTAGTCTCTTCCAAACACAGCCTGGGCCTGCCACAGGGCTGTGGTTATGTCCCCGGTGGTCCTCGCTGCTCTGGTGCCCGGTGACATCAGAGAGGAAGGGACATCGGGTAGGGGAGCTCCTCCTCAGCCTGATCAATAAATGGGGACAATTTTGATCTAGGTCTCCAGCACTCAGAACCTTTCTGCCTCCTGCATTACCTTTTCCTGTGCTGTGTGTAGGCCGCCCTGGGTTTCCTTCATTTACCCATGCTTTGTGTTTTGAACATGGCACCCGCAAGGCAGATTATCTTTTTCTGTTGTCTCCTCACTGGGAACCCCTGGGAGGAGGCAGGCCAGGACATCATCCTGTTCCCACTTTGACCTCAATAGCTAAACCAG